TCAACCCTTAAACCCTAACCCTTAAACCCTAAACCCCTAAACCCTTAAAGCCCTAAACCCCAAACCCTGGAACCCGAAAAGTCCCAGGCGACTTGGGCCAAAACCCCGGGCCTGTGCATCTCAACTTCTGCTTCCGGGCCTCGACCTCGGTTCCTGGGTTTAGGGATGTAGGGCTTAGGGCTTAGGGTTTAGGGTTTTGAGGATATGGGGTTTTGAGAACTGAGGTTTAGGGTTTAGGGTTTTTGAGGATTTGGGGTTTTGAGAGCTTACCAGGACCCCCCAACTGCCCCTTAATAGAGCCCTTATGGTCCTTAATAGTGGGTATTTAGGGTATACTAGAGGGCAGTTGGGGGGGTCTAAGTAGGGCTTAGGGTTTAGGTGTAGGGTTTCCGGTTTAGGGTTTAGGCTTTAGGGGTTAGGGCTTTGGGTTTAGAGTTTGGGGTTTAAGGGTTGGGGTGAGGGTTTGGGGGCTTAGGGCTTGGGATTTGGCGTTTAGGGTGGGCCTATATAGGGGGGTTAAGGGATTTAGGATGTAGTGGTCTATGTCTTGCTACTTGTGCACTGCTCACTAAAAATGCGTTCTTTCTCCATGACCTTTTACTTGCTATTCACTCAGTTAGCCATATTTAGTATGAGTGTTGTTTCTGGAGCACCTGGAGAGAATGCGTTTGTTTACACTGTATGTTACGTTATATGCAGGGCGTTTATATGATGCTGTAAAACTGTCGCAAGAGCGCTGTCTAGGGTGTGCAGGTTTCTTGGTGTTATTGGGAATCTCTTATACTTCATGTGGTTGCTATACGGATTTAGAAGGCTTGTTTTGGGGTGGTTTGGCGGTGAGACCTTGTGGTTGTTGTTCAGTGGCATGGCGATTCGGTTCAAGGTCAAACCCTACACCCCAAACCCCAAACCCCTTAAGGTTTAGGATTCAGGCTGTAAGGTTTGGGGTCTTGGTTTTAGGGTTCTGAGTGCTCTCGGTATGTGGTTAGGGTCTCATGACCCTGGGTGACTCTTTCAAAAGTGGCCCAAACGAGTTTTGAAGTCTAGCTTTCTTGGTCGCAAGCCGACAGTCCTGGAGTTGTTTTCAGGAATCAACATACAGGGATGACTGTTATAAAATATCAAGGCCTAGTAGAGCAGGGGTTGAAGGCCTGTTTAGTAAAGACAGATGCCTTCTTCATCAAGAAATCTACATCAAGCTGCATCGCAAGGAAAACCTGGCGCCGGATGGAGGAGCGGTTGGGACCCCGGGAAACCACTCGAGGATATTTGAGGAAACTATCGTTGTGAGGTGTCACCTGGTGTGCGGATGCCTCTTGGGAATTTTAGCCTGATAGACACCACAAGCCCAGTACTCTTAATTAAGGAACAGATCTTAAGGTATTTAGCTTTTTGGGCAGGTACTCTTAATTACGGAGTGCACCTTCAATTATCATTGAGAGTTATACGACAGCATTTTAAGGCAGATTACGGACAGCGGGAGGGGGCCTGGTGACCGTACAAACCAGACCCCGAGATGGAGGTTTTGAAACTTATGAATTAGAATAGGGTTTTGGGGTATAAGATACTATAACTATAATAAGGAAGCCCCGAAATAGTAGAGGTAACTATGTAGGCTCCTATAGCAGGGCCTATAGGGTTTAGGCTTGACGACCAGTGGCTGCTGATTTCGAGTCGAGGTTGGGATTCACACAGGACTTTCGGTTGTCTGGTCAGCGGTATGCTGGCGTCCAAGGTGTAATTTCCACGCTGTGCCGGAAAACCTAAATCCTAAAGGCCCTGAACCCTAAACTTGAACCCTAGACCCTAAACCCTAAAGGCCCTAAACCCTAAACTTAAACCCTAAACCCTAAAGGCCCTAAACCCATAACTTAAACCCTAAACCCTAAAGGCCCTCAACCCTAAACTTATTCCCAAAGGCCCTAAACCCGAAACTCAAACCCTTCTTCAACCAGAAGCACTCAAACCTAAGGGTCCATGTGGTCAAATAATATATACTTCGGCCCCAGAGGAAGGACCTAGATAGGGACTACTCTCTCAGGCCAAAGTATATACTACTTGGGCACATGGACCCTTAGGGCAACTCTAAGGCTTACCTAGACCTCGAAGAACCTACTTTTTAAGGACTTATTAGAACAGGAAATCATAATAAGGAACCCCAAAAAGGTAGGTTCCTTGAATTCCAGGTATATCCCACTCTAAACCCAACCCTAAACCCTACACCGCAAATCCTCAAAATCCTCAAAATCCCCAACCCTAAACCTAAACCCTAACCCAACCCCTAAACTCTAAGCCCCAAATCCTCAAAACCCTCTACCCTAAACCCCAAATCCCAAAAACCCTAAACCCCTAAACCCCAAATCATAAAAAACCCCTAAACCCTAAACTCCTAAACCCCTAAACCCCAAATCCTCAAAATCCTAAACCCTAAACCCCTAAACCCCAAATCCTCAAAACCCTAAACCCTAAACCCTAAACCCCAAATCCTCAAAACCCTAAACCCTAAAACCCCTAAACCCTAAAAGCCCCGAGCGGAGCCTTTCCTGGCTTTAGGAAACCCAAAGGGTCCTTTGTACCTATGTAGTAGAATGTAGGGTTTCTACATTAGGAATTACGATTATGATTTAGGGAAGTATTTCCCATAACAATACATAGGACCTTTTGGGGAAAGAAGGTCTCTTGCGATCCAAGGATTTGCTACGGCTTTAGGCTTGAGGGGTTGGGAAAATGGGCTTAGGGGATTTAGAGTGTAGGGGTTGAGGGTTTAGGCCTTACGGGTTAGGGTTTAGGGTTTAGGTTTTAGGGTTTAGGGTTTAGGTTTTAGGGTCTTGTTCTTGGCTGCGATTGTTTTTGGGTTGCCCGTGGCTGTGACATGCCCGCTGAATGCATGGAAGGTGTATATAATGTAGATGCCAAAATATGGTAATGCCATTCTTTAGGATTCAAAAATATTACTATAATCCAAAAACTTAATACTGTAATCTATAAAATGTAGACCCTGAATACTCGAATATTCAAGCTGCTTCCCACGCTCGCGGCGTTGATGTATGAGCACTTCAGGTCGCTCGGTTCGGAGCAACTCCCCGGCGATGTGCTGTCGGATCTGGAAGGCCGAATTGCCACGCAGGTGATCATCACGAAGGACCAGTTGCTTAACATGGCGGCTGAGAAGGTGAGCTCTGGCTTGTTGCACTGCGCGCTAGCTGAGCTCGCAAGACCTTTGCAGTGATGCTATGTACAAAGGTAGGCCATCAGGGCATCAGGTGGATGAGATCACTGAGAAGGTGGGAGTGCTGATTGGACACCTCGAGGTATTGGCAGGCTTTGCAGAGTGGGATGAGATTCGCCGGAGGAGGCGTAGGACACTGGCGGAGCTTTCCATGGCCTATCTGGTGGTGGCGAGGCAGGGGACGGGTAGCCTCGTACCAGAGAGCCTCGGTCTACATGGTGTCGACTTGGCGGCGATGCACGCGACGCGTCCCGGATCCCTGCTGCTCGAATGTTGCAAGTAGGCGGACCACAACGTAGGTACTGAGCAGGTCCTAGATCTCTGAAATTTAGGTCCTACGGCTGATGTTTGCAATCCTGCATTACCCATAATGGAGAATATCGCATAATTCCCATATCTTGGGGTCCTTAAGGTAATGCAGGATTTATATCATCAGCAATTGAATTAGGTCTCCCCAAAACCATTCTTAGTATGGTCTTTTGCGGCCTGATTCCATAACGGTTAGTTTATATGGACCCTCTGAGATTGTTTATATTCAGATATGTGTACCAGAAATGCTAGATCGGTACATGAAGCCTTCTGGGAGCGCCCTCAACCCCCCGGAACTGTCCTAAACCCCAAAAATCGTAGATCCTGAACCCTAAACCCTAAACTTCAAATCCTTAACCCTAAACCCCTACTCCGTAAACCGTAAACTACCTTGATTCCTGAAACCCTAAATTCCTTAAGCCCTGAACCTGCCAAGGTAAGAGGCTGTCCTGGTCGAACCGCGTCGTGGGACCCAGCCACTCGGCCAGAAAGCATGCTGAGGGGGGTTTAGGGCTTAAGGTTTAGGGTTTAGGGTTCAAGGTTTAGGGTCTAGGGTTTAGGGGTTTAGGGTTGAAGGTTTGGGGTTTAGGGTTTAAGGTGTAATATAATGCCGTTATTCATTACCTGTACTCTTTTTGGGGTTCCTTATTATAGTTATAGTATAATATACCCCGAAAACCCTAGTCTAATTATTACGGCCCCTGCATTAGGGCAGGGGTGTCGGGTTGTCCCTAAGGGTCGGAGGTCAAGGACCTCATAAATCATCTACTCTCCAACATACTGTTGAGGATATAAAACCTGCATTACCTTAAGGACCTTAAGCTACGGGAATTAGGGTATATTCCGTAGTATGGGTAGTGCAGGATTTGTATCATCAGCCGTAGTAAGCTAGATAACTACGTTCCGTACGCCTGTTTCTGGGCCCTTTGGACCCTTAGCCCTGAACCCTAACGGTTTAGTGAAAAACCCTAAACCCTAAACCCTAAACCCCTAAACCCCTAAACCCTAAACCCTAAACCCTGTTCGAGGCTTTGGTCAGGATTTCAGGGTTTGGGATGTGGGCTCTGGGAGTTCAGGGCTTTAGAGGTATACAGGGTTTAGGTTTTGGAGGTTTGGGGTTTCGAGCTTTTGGGTGTAGGGCTAGGAGGTTTGGCGTTTGGGGTTTCGAGGGTTTGGGGTTTAGGGTTTGGGAAAGGGTCCTGTTTCAATATCCCACTGTTGTCGCAGAAGGCCATATTATTCTGGCAGTGGGGTTCTACCAAGATCCCAAACCCGAAACCCTAAACCCTAAACCCTAAACCCGAACACCATACCTCTAGTCTCCATTGTAGTTCCTTTTTTGGGCTAACCAGTTCTATATAAATTAAGGATCCTATAAGATAACCCCCAAAAGGAACTACAATGGAGACCATACTTAGAGCCTGAACCCGAAACCCTAGACCCTAGAGCCGGAAAGACGTGGGGCTTAGCTTGGGTTCAGGTCTTCAAAACATGTCTCAATGGGATCCATCCGGAAGCCATAACATTGCAGGGTTTCAGGGTTGACGGATGTCAGGGTTCAGGGTTCAGGGTGTGCGATGTTTTGGGGTCTGAGGGTTTAGGGTTTGGAGTTTTGGATTCAGGCTTTGCCGTTTGAGGTGTCAGTGTAAGGGTTTAGGGCTTAGGGTTTAGGGTAATTAATGAGCGGTAACCCTAAACCTGGATATCCTGTCTATAAACGTTAAATCCTTAAGCCTAAACCGCAGGCCTACATCAATACCAGTGAGATCCATCGCTGGGCATCCAGCATTTCGCCTCGCAGCTGCGCCCTCAGATTCTTACAGAAGCGGCGTGATGTACCTAGACCCTTAAATGTAGTACCTTTCATTGGATGACCTAATTTATGGTTATGATCCTAGAATACGAGACGTAGGGAACCAACAAAAGGTACTACATGTCAGGGCCTAGGTAAGCAGATGAAGAGCTGGACATTGCCATGCAATAGGGTACATATTGAACCTCTAATGTGTAGCTCTCTAAATTAGACTTCCTCTTTTCAGTCCCCGACATAGTACGGCACCCTTATAAAAAGGAGCCCAAAAGGGACCCTAACTTAGAGAGCTACCCAACTCCCAAACTCCGGACGCAGTGTATGATTTTGTCTCATATCCCCCAATCCCTGCACCCTAAGTCCCCCCCACACCCTAACCTGTAAACAGTTGGGGCTTCTAGTCAGGGTTGGGTTGCGGGCGAGTTCCTATGTAGGCTGAGTTTACGATTGGGGCCCCAAAGACCATTGTAGATTTGAGACCTAGGTCCACAATACAAGTCCCCGCTCATAGATACATGGGTAGTTCTTAAAATTAGGGTCCCTTTTAGGGTCCTTTTTACGAGGGTGCCGTCCTATTTGGGGGACCGAAAAACAGACGCTAATTTAGAGACCTACCCACGTAAACATATCCATGTACATACATGTACAACGCTCTCTCTCTCTCTCTCTCCCGCATCGCATGTTCATGTTTACGCGGACCCTGTGGGTAATGAGGGTGCGCTAAACATTACAAATCCAAGACAAGAGTTTCGGTGAATATTTCATTCAGGTTGAGGGTTTAGGGTTTGGTAAAGGCGCTGTTAGATAGGAGATGGAAAGCTTGGAGGAGACTGAATCTCATCTCACTTATCATGAGGATATTAGCTTCAACAGCTTCTGTTTAGTTGCTGTTTGGGCGCCTACAGAAGCAACCATGCCGACATCAATCACGGTTCCGTGTTCAAGGATAGGTGGTGGTTTACCACAACAAGACAACAGCGTAAATAGCTTGCATGGTTTGGACTAACTACACAGCCGAATGACCTCAACTTCGTAGATGCTGAACCCCAAATGTTACCGTAAAGCTCGAAACCCGAAACTGTAGCCCGAGTCCTGAAGCCTAGAACTGAAAAGGCCCGAAACATCTTAAACAAGTCCGACGGCTTAGGTACCTACCTGCGGCCCTCAGCAAAGCTAGAGCCCTGCCCTGTGCTCGAGGACAGGTTCAGGGTTCCCGTGTTTGCTGCTGTAGGTTTTTGGGCTTCGAATTTCGACTGCACAGTGAGTAGGAACTTGGCGGTAGTGTAATATAAGTCATTTGTACGATTTAGAAGTTCCAGCTCAAAACTTGCGGTCTTGGTGTTAAGGCTGACAGCGTATTGGGTTTAGGAGTGGCGTTTGCCATTCAAGGTTGTCGATTGAGAGTGGTTTGTCCAGTTTGGGATCAGGCACCAAAGTCTACCCCGCAGGGCCTAATGATCAGGTACTTGGGTTTCGGATAGTGGTGTTGTAGTTTAGTTTCTGGAGGATTCTATGTTTCTATGGTGTTTAGCTGCTTGGGTCGCGAGGGCCAGGGGCCTGCCAGTTAGCCATCGAATCAAGGACTCGCAGGCTCAGGGTTAAAGTTGTGGCTTGACCTGAAAGGTTTCAGTTCAGTTCATCACATCTGTGTATGTGCATACACAAGTGTACGTACATATGTATATAATATGTATATATATATATATATGTTATATATATATATATGTATACATACATGCTGTGTGTTAATTTCGTGCGTGCTATGTGTGTGCTTGTATATATGTAATAAAGATGTTTGTGTTTCGAATGAATGGACGTGTATTTAGTAGATACCATGTCGCCTATAGTCTTGGCGTTCTTCTGGTCGGCTCTTAGGACTTTACTTTTTTGGGTTTCTAGATGAACCATAATAAGTAGGCTGAAAGTGTAACTTTCAAGAGGGGTGCAGAAGTCAGCCACGTATTTCCAAGGTTTCCGACCAACTCAGGTTGATGAGGCATTGATATGACCAACCCTCTGAACACCGGGCCACCTACCGCTGAGGATGGAATATCTATCCGGGTACCCATAGGCCCCATAGTAGTTCCTTTTGGGGATTTCCTTATGGGATCCTAAATATATGCCACAAAAAGGAACTGCTATGGGGCCTATGGGTCGTAAGTGATAGCAGCTGAATGTCTTGACTCACGAACCGTGTCTGACGGTGGAGATCCCGCCAGGAACTTAGAGCCCCCATCTAAGTTTGACGCGAGAAACTTTCAGTAGGATACACCAGTTTTCCCAACCAAAAGAAGCTCAAGCTCATATTTAGCCCCAAACCCAAAACCAATTCCCCCACGTCCCCAGGACTATCCTTCTCTTTTGTTTGTGGTAGGATGCCGCTTCAACCTTGACCAGTATAGGACGAGGATAGTGGGAAGCCCTTCCTTCAATGGTCCAGGTGAAAGTCGTTGTAAAGGGAGTTTGAGGGTTTAGGGTTTGAGGGTTTAGGGTTTAGGGTTTAGGGTTTAGGGTTTAGGGTTTAGGGCCCCAGCTAAAATGTGAAACTGGGTGGCATGTTCAGTCACTTGTTTGACTTTCCCGGGTGCCTCAAAGTAAAATGCAGGAAGGAGCAAAGAAACTGTCAAGAGCGCATGAACATCACATCGGCAAGTATAGCTTCTGTCAGTGTTGTTTGCTGTTGTGCTTTTAGGAGTACTGCAACTAATATAGTAATTTCATGATACATTCCTAAACCCTAAACCGTAAACCCTAAACCCTAAACCCCTAAGCCCTAAACCCTAAACCATTAAAGGAGCTGAGAATCACAGCGCCGAACGGCAGCATCGCAGTAGTAGAAACAGAAGACAGCAAAAGGCGATCACAGTCATAATTCTGCTCACACCATGCTCACAGGTATCTAGCAGCAGCAAAGCCCCAAACCCTAAACTGTAAACCCTAACAACAAGAAAGCGCGGAGGAGCTTGTGCAGCTAGCCACAGGCACCGTGCGAGAAGAAGCTACGATATGCTGGATGCTATTATTCGGGTTTACGAGCACCTGGGTGTAGAAGGTTTTGTCGCTCAAACCCCGAAACCCAAATCCAACCCTAAATCCGAAAACCCTAAACCCTAATCCCTAAACCCCCACCCTCAACCTGCGCCCGCAGTCTCTCAGGACTTCCGGAGTTTCAGAAAATCAGGGACCGAAAGTATAAACCCCACACACTAGGATTGATGGATAAAATCCTGCATGACCCAAATATAGTGTTAGTACCATAATTCCTATAGTTTAGGTCTATAGGGTCATGCAGGATTTTGTCCATCAACCGTAGGATCCTTGTTGTAAGCAACCCTGAAAGGAAAGAAGCTCTCTTTTTCGTAAATTTCGTATCTTCGAAACTGAACTTAAGGCTCTCAGAGGATATACTTCCTGGGAGGCTCGAAGGACCTAATACAGGCGCTTGAATAATTACCAATAATACTGTGTTGGGGGTTCCTATAGTAATAGTAATAGTTTAATATGCCCCAAAACCCTATTCTAGTTATTGAGGCCCCTACATTACAGTGTTCTAAAGCTCCGAGAAGGTACATCTTGCGGCCATAGACGGGCTCTGGTGCGATGTTGAGCCTTAGGTATAGATTCCATTGGCTGTGGGACGATTGGTTGGATTCTTTGCATGTCGAGGAAGCCGGCAGTGTTTCAACCTGAAGCGCTAAAGCCTAAACGCCCTGAACCTGTCAAGCTTAAACCCTGACGCCCTACCTGGACCCTAAGAAACCTACATGTTTGGGGCTCTTCATGTTGCTTTCCTTATATAAGTCCTTAAAAGGGTAGGTTCTGTGGGGTCGAGGTAAATCCTAGAACGGCAAACTCGAAGATCCTGAACCCTAAATGTGCTTTGCAACCTGCCTCTAGTAGTTCCTTTTCTCAGTCTGACGAATTGTGTATTTAGGATCTTTCAAGGTATCCCAAAAAAGGAAGAACAGCGGAGACTATAGGTGAAGCCAGAAACCGAAGCAACACCCAGAGCAGTCCGAAACCCGATAAGAGCGTAGGCTTAGGCTTCAGGGTTCTTCAAGGCTTTCATGGTGGGTTCAAGAGAGACTAGGTTCCTGAGTAGTACCCTTTTTGCCCTTTTATTGTATTGTTCCCTTATTAAAACTGAATAACAGGAAAAGGGTACCCTTATTATTAAGGGGTCACTCAGGAACCTAGGAGAGCACTAGCTTCACCAAACAGGCGTTCAAATGCAAGCCAACCTCGAAGCCACAACCCGAAATATCAAAGCACGTTGTTTGATATACTTTGCTACTTGGCCAGGGGATGCTCGTATTGCAGTGCTTGCTCGGCGCTGAGCAGCCGGATGCGCTTGAAGTTCGGATACTCCATGAATGCAAATTCAGGTCCCCAACTTTACGACACCTCCCCTAAACCCTAAACCCCTGTGCAGACTGTATGAGGGACGATACAGGACCAACTCAAACCCCAAATGGGGAAACTCCGTGCCATTCCATGTGAGACCGAAACAACGTGGCACATGACCCGCTTGGAGGTTCATGGGTAGCTACAAGTAGGGTTATAAGTCCCTTAAAGTGGGTTATATCTATAATTACTTCTAACCCTACTCATAGCTACCCCCCAAACCATAAACTCCATCGAACTTTTATAGAACCCTGTAAGCGAAACCTAGTTAAACCTACTTGTAGCCCTACTTATAGCTACCTATGAAGCTCCAAGTGAGTCCCAAACCTTTGAAACCCTAAACCCTAAACCCTAAACCCTAAACCCTAAACCCTTCCCAAACCTTTGTAAACCTCAGGCAGGCTGGATCATCAGGTTTGGAGCCATCCGCGGCTTCATAGAACAAGCATTATTGAGCTTGTTTCGGTGCTGATGGGCCTACTATTATAGTATAATAGGGGCTTTAACAATGAGAATAGGGTTTGGGAGTATATTATACTAGAAGTATAATAAGGAACCCCCCAAACCTTGTTCTAGTTATTAAGGCTCCTCTGGGGGAGGTGTAGAAGACATGAGTGCCGGAGACAGAGTGGAACCAAGAAAGATCCCAACTCGACTTCGAGAACCTCTAAACCCTAAACCCTAAACCCCTCATAAAGCACCGTAGAAGAGCAAACTCACGAGGTGGGCACCCTTCAGTCGACGGATCAGGTCCTCTTAGTCGAGGAGCTCTCATCGCAGGGCTACACTTCCAGTGTTTGGGTTCAGAGTCTAGGGTTAAGGTTTTGGGCCCGGGGCTGTGGATTTAGAGCTTGGAGGGTGCGTCTCGCGGCAGGATTTTGTTTCGCATCGTTTCTTGAAGCGGGGTTGGGGTTGAGGGCCGTCGTTGAATTTGAGGGTTCGGCCGACAACATCGTGGGTTCTCTGGCCATCATAGTGTAGTATTAGTATGATACTAGTATTATACTATTTTAGTCTTATAGCATTATCGTATTATGATATTATGGTATTATGGTTTTTGTGGTTGCCCGAAAACCCTACACTGGGGGCTTGCAAGAGGAGCCAGACATCCCGATGCGGCAGGGGGGGTAAATGGGGCCTCGCTGCGTAAAGGCTGCAGAAACCCAGAGAGCCCAAGACCCCGTACTTAAGGTTTACTGTAGGGTTTAGGGTTTGGGGTTTAGGGTTTAGGGTTTGGGGTTAGGGTTTAGGGTTACTTAATTAAGGTTTAGGGTTTGGGGTTTAGGGTTTGGGGTTTGGGGTTTAGGGTCTGGGGTTTAGGGTTATAGGGTTTAGGAATATGCCTTAAACCATACCCTAAGGGTCCAAGTACCCATGATTTCAGAACTTTGGGGCTTTTGGGTATTTAAAACCATAAATAAGGACTACTTGGACCCTTAGGGATAGTATTAAGGTCCCTATAATTGGTTTATAAGGTCTATATATGTATATTTATATATTCCTTAATTAAGGTGTACTGGGCTCTCTCGGACCAGCCCAAAAGGAGCGACCGCTCGCCAGGCTGAAAGCGGCCGACGCGGCCTAAGGTTTTATCTCTTTGCAAAAGCCTCCTTGCAATGAGGGTTTTTGTAAACACCCTCTTTGCAAGACCGTGCAAAAGGAGCTGACACGGGCAGCATGGCGGCAGAAGCTGCCACTAAAGCTTACACAGAGATGGTTGTGAGGTTTCAGAACGAACGATCCGGCAGCTCTGAAAGCAGAAACTGGGCATGCTGCTCTGAAAGTTTAGGGTTTACGGTTTTAGGGTTTTAGAGTTTGGGTTTTAGGGTTGAGGGGTTTAGGGCTTTAGAGTT